GTAGGTGTAGGTGATGATGTGTCCAACAGAGACCTTCGGGCTTTCGTGGGATCTTTTACCAATCATTGCGTTTGATATATTAATTAAGGTAATATGAAGTCAAAAGTAATAACAAATAAAGGATGAGAGGTAAAGTGGGTCAAGTTCTATTACGAACTTACCGAGCCCGATTCGGGACCCCCTATTCTACACTTGGTTATTACAGAAGAGGTAGAGAGAATTATATGTTCTAAGTTATACTATGCAAGTTTATCAACCCTTACAATGAAATAAATGCGAGTGCTTATACTAAAATGTAGCAGGTGTAGGTGATGATGTGTCGAGCCCTCACTGGATAGCCTCAACCACAAACTCCTCCATATCTAGTGCACTAAATGCGCTTCCCGCTAATTCTAGCCTTTCCACCTACACTGCTTTGGAGAGCTCTCCGACATACAACCAACACTATTTTAGAAAACACCAAGTATCAGAATATTACTGACTAGTGAATCCCGTGCGGAAAATGGGCCGCCGTGCTAGTTAGGCTGTCGACGTCTAGTAGTATTTGGGCTTGGACCCAATACCCCAATACTACCAAAATTATATTCAAATATACTTATTATTTTACAACCTCTTTTGAAATGTTATTTCTATAATAGTTATTCAAATGAGTTTCTCCAACATATTTTATGTTATAGTTGAAAATATTTTTTTAATAATTAGTACTCATTGTTGACAGATATTGATTCAGAATATCTAATTGTATCTAGTTTTTGTACGATAAGTGCTTTTGCTAGATACTACCCCCATCCCAAAATAATTAGTCAAATTCAAAATTTTGACTAACAATATAAATTTATTGGAAAGTATTTGTAATATACAAATGATATGAAAATGTGCTTTGTTAAAAGTACTTTCATAAAAGTATAAAATTTATTACTTTATAAGATTATACTAATCAAAACCATGGTCCAAATTTTAAGATTTGGCTAAACATTTTGGGACTGACATAGTACTATTTAATAATTATCAAATTTTAACATAACAATGATTTAATAATATTTTTAATTAAAATTATCAAGTATTTTTTAATTAAAACAACACATGACAGATTCTGTTCCTATCACGAGCTCCTGAAGAGAAGCTCTGTGCGGACAAGGCCATCAGAGGGTCTTCCCGGTGGAATTTTTGATAAAATGTTTTGAGCATGTTCCTCATCAAGTCTAGTTTTTTCATACCAAATCTCAGCTTAACATTCCTCATCAGCTCACAAAATATCATCAAAAAATTTCACCAGGAAGACCCTATGATGGTCTTGTCCGCACGGGACTTCTCTTCAGGAACTCTTGAGGTGAACTACCCTCACACATGACAATAGAGGAGGGTATATATATTATAATATAATATTGGAATACATAAGAGTGGAGTTTTGGAAGTTGGATATCTTTCATTTATGGTGTTGCCACATGTCATATTTTTCTTACAAAGATGTTGCCACTAGTAAAAAAATGGCTTATAGTGACATTAAATTAGTGTCACTAAACGATTTGGTGACACTCTGAAAGTGTCACAGACAATGGGGGCAAGTGACACAAAATTTAGTGTCACTGGTTGCTAAACAGATTAGTGTCGCAAAAATTTGACAATAAAATATCACCTAAAATTATGACGTTATAATATCATAACTTTTTTTTGACACTTCGGTATCATAAAAATATGTGATACATTAGTATCATAAGTATATATATATATATATATATATATATATATATATATATATATATATATTTCAATATACATACACATATATATATATATTATATACATGTAATATAATTTAATACTAATAAATAACCAAAATTCAAAGATTTTTATTTATATCTCAATTTCTCACATAAATGTGAATGTACATACTACACAATTCATGGGGGCACACCCGGAAACAACAACTAATATACAAGAACAAAACGCTAATATGTCTAACTTTTACACCACACTTCCTAGGGCCTTGACATATCTTCTTTTGTAGACTTGCACAGAATGAAACCCGTTCTTATGCTACGAACTTCATCGTTTGAAATCTCATTTGCTTCTATCATACTTCACCTGCAAAGTGGACATTACAGTAATTACACACTACTTCAACTTAGTACATCCACTAGTAAAAAAGTGGCTTATAGTGACATTAAGATCTCTTTGTTGTTGATCAACAATTGTTCGATGATGTTTCCATATTCTTTTAAGTTCTTTATAAATGATACAGTCCTTTTTCACCACTGCCATTATGCCATATTTGTCTGCTCAACCTTAGCTCAACAAACACAAAAGAAAATCAAGCATTAATTACAGTATAGCAAATTCCATCACAGACCTGGACCTACAAAAGCATCAAGGGGTACCTTCTTGACAGTTTCTCTGGTTTGCTGCATTTATGTCCAGTACATGTCGTAATATGAAGTAAAGAACTGAGAGAAACAATACAATTATAAAGAATATAGAACATTAGCATTTTTATGTCAAGTACATGTCATAATATGAAGTAGAGAACTGAGAGAAACAATAGAATTATAAAGAATATAGGACATTAGCATTTAAAAAGGTTCCAAACCGGCATGGTCATATATGAGTTCAAACATACTCCATATATATGAGTTAAATCTATAGAACATAAATGCTTCTACTTTCAAGAAATTGAGATTGACAAAAGACTGGAAATTCAGATCAAAATCCTTATAGTTTTATGGAGTTATAATGCTAGTTTTGGTTTCCTAGGAATAAGAACTAGGCATACTGCTCTATCAGCAATATAGTAGTCATAATACATATAAGTGTATTGTCATAAAATTAGTCATAAACACATAAAGCCATAAAACTAAGCATAAACACTTTGCAAACAGCAAAATATACGGAAATATCTGCCATAGAACTAGACATACTAATCTAACACTTATAGCAAAATGAGGAGAGGCAAATATTGCGCATATAACAGGTGAGCATATATAACCTTACAACAGATATTTGGATAAGGCACGAGGCAATACTTAAAAACGGAGAGCACGATGCATAATTTAGAAAATATGAGTAAATACATACCACTCTATCTGCAACAGGAGCAACAGAGAAGGAGAGATAGAGCATGACTACATGAGCCAAGCAAAATTGGAGAACATAGATGAAGTAGCTAGCTAGTATACTAACATATTAAGAAAGAACCTAGGATAAAGGAGAGCAAAAACTTACTTATCATGATACATGATACTTCTGATGCACAAAATCTGAGGGCCAGGAGAAGAGAAAAACCAGTCATGGACTCTGAGATGTATATGACCTTATTTAAATACTATGCAAAAAAAGATAATCTTCCTTGATTCATAATAAGAATCTAGCAAGTCTGAAATTCCGAAAGAATCTACGCAAAGCAATTCCATTACCTATCAAAATGAAAAAAATACATCCACTCCATACATAAATTACAGAGATAGCTGAGATTAAATTTACATTTCGGTCTTACTGGTAAATGGATCAACTTGCCAATATGGAAGAACTAAAAAAAGAGAATCAAAGGATAATGCTGCACTTGCAAGAGAAAAATTCCCTTTGAAGCAAAGTCATTAGAGGATACTATTGAATTGGGAAACCTCTTACACAAATCATCAGGTGAACAACTAAAGCCATAATATCAATAATTGCACCAAATGGAAAACCATCATTAATAGCAGGATACACTATTTTTCATCACGTGAATATCACTTGGATCAACTACAAAACTTCAAGAGTACTGATCTTAGAAAAAACAAGAAGCTACATGAATTTGTGGTTCACGAACTAGTCTTGAAACAACACTTGCAGACCTCAGATTATAAAATAAATTGGACAGAGCTTATACTCATAAGTTAGAAAGCTGCTGCCCAATTTATATAACTAAAAGTGTCTGTTTACTGAATTAGAACAACCAAACCTCAACCCTTAAAATAGTCCCTTCTTTCATATGTGTGTGTGTGTGTGTTCGGGACTACTTAAAATAGTCATCCTGAAGCGAACTATGGAGAGGGCTAAAGACAAAAGTAGACTATGTCGCACAGGTTGACTGTGTTGTTATTCCATGACTGGTATGGGCTTTTCAAAATCAATACTTTATTAAATTACTACATATATTACATGAATATTTGCAAAACATGGTTTAGAAACCTGGGAAGATCGATCACATGATTTCAACTTCATATGCCAAACAACCAATATTTCCAACAAACTAAGGAAATCAGATTTTTTTTCTCTTTCTTCGACCTTTTACAGTAGCAAAATAGAAATTTTGGTCTTCCAATTTTAATGCAACACTATTGGACACAAGCTATCCAACTCTCAAATCGAGACAAATATATACAGAAAACAGAAGGCAATCGGAATTTCACTACTCAATTACAAACATTTTAGCTAAATATATAAATAATCAATTTGCTAGCAAATTCGAAACAGAGATTGAAAAAGAAGAAGAGAAAATTAGATTGATAATAAGGAAATCTCTGCAATCTTATAAAAGAAATCAAGAAGAGCAAATACCTGGATGAAGAAGGCAGGCAGCTTCTTTCACGATAGATCGCACGCTGCTACATGTAAACTCCTTACCGTTCAGACGCTTCACGTATATGCTATCTCAGTTTTGCCCTTAGGTCTCTGTATATCCACCGCTTCTCTAACACAGCCGATTCGCAGACAATACCCAAGCCCTTGGATTCATTGGGGCATAATAAAATCTTAAATTAAATCACAAGAGGAAAAACCCCTAAGCCGAATAACTGCTTCAAGGTTGAAAATGATTGAAGAGGAAAAACCCCTCTTTTTTTTTAAGCTTGCCTAATTCAATGCATAGGCAAATAGAGTATTATTGATCATCCAAAATCAGTACCATTAAGTATTGCAAGTTACAATGTGCTAGTCCGCATAAAACTCTCAAACTTGCTACCATATAAATTCCACAATTCTTTCTAAATCTCTAAAGGATGATTCAGGAAGATTACAAACCCCATACCTGAGAATTGAATAGTACAATCAGCAGGAAACCCAATTCTTGTGAGTGCTGATGAGAGCTGAAAGAAGCCCAGCTGATGAGAGTATCAGCTGCCCAGAAAACAATCCCCTGCCATCTCTAATATCAGCTAAAGCCATTAAAGCATCAGCAAAATCTTGCAAAATGGACAGCCTCTTCATCATCTTCTTCTCTCTCAACTTCCTTAGCCTCTCCCCCTCCTCTACACACGCAATACCCCTAACCACCGCAATCTCAATACTCGAAACCAAACAAGCCTCGTCCTCAGCAATCCTCTGTAGCTCCCTCACCTTCAAGCTCACACTGCCGATGTAGCCTACAAGCTCACACCAGGCGCTAATTTTCTGCAATAGATTCAGATGTTTCTTGTCGAGAGGAAAACCCCCTCTTGTTTTAGTAATTTTTAACGCAGCAGAATCAATGATTTCACAAGAATAAAATTTTCTTTTGATTCTAAAAAACATTCCTGAGCCAAAGAAATCATTTTCCTGTGTTCTAGAGGAGAGACCTATATAATTACCTCTATTCCCAGCGAATGGATCTCCTTGAAGCGCCGAGGTGGAAGGAAACCATACGCTGACTCTCTTTAGCGTCGACCTTGTAACCGTCCGACGAGCTCTGCTGATGCGTCCCACTTGTAGCCGGCGGACGAGAGCCGCTCCAATCCTTGGCGTCGGACGACCTCTTCTGAAGCGACTCCCCTGTAACCGGCGGACTGGCCACCGGACGGTCGCGTAAGCTACTTTGCCCCAGAGGACGGTCGCGCGATTGTGAAGAAGGTCTGGCTAGGGTTCTGGGAATGAAAAGAGAAGGAGTGATGTTAAAGTTGGTTACTTGATAAAATATGATAAATTTATCAAGTTGGTTACTTGATAGGAGAAAGAAAACAAATTTTAGGTGTTAAAATATGATAAAATAGATTTTAAAAAAATGATAAAATAATGTTAAAAGAAAATAAAATAGGGTGTGAATGTCACTATCTGTTATTGATGGTATTGTGTCAGAAACTAATGACACATATATATCGTAAAAAAGATATGTCGTATTTTAGTGACACTATATTAAAAAGTGTCACTAACAAAGTGTCACTGTAAGCATGTTTTCTACTAGTGTGCCTTGTCACGCCCCGGACCTACCCGGACACGTCAACAACCCGCCGTACAGTACGAATAGTCAACCGCAGTCTAACACATCCATACTATACAAGGCGTCTTTAATATCATTCACACATAGTACATCCATAAACAAACATAATGTAAAATATTCATTAAAGCAACGGAAACAATATTACAAATGTTCAAGCCACACTTGGCAAACTTAGGCATACAAGCCCTAAAATAATTTATTGGAAAATATTATCCATGAGCATTATTGTAATTGTTTTGAAAACAGAACGGAGGAAGCACGAACCACGTCTTCTCTCCAAGAACTCCCGAAGCAACGGGTACAGGAAGCAAGCTCTAGCTTCTACCTGAAAACTGTGAGGTGACCTCCCCCGTAAAGAGGAGGTCAGTACTTTGAAACATTTGAAAAGTACAATGACAACTATACTGCATATAATTAAAGTTTCAATTCTTAAGACCCTCAACATAAGGTGTTATCATATTTCTAGGAAATAACTCATAGTTACCCCTTTCAAAACATACATAAGTATATAATGTCAAATAGTCGGCCCAAGGGCCCATTTGTATTTGTCAAAAAACCCTTTGCATCGCCACACGATAAATTATTTCCCCATTTGTATTTAATAATACAAATCGTATCGCCCTGCAATAATTCAAAAATACAATTTGTATCGCCCTGCAATAATTCATTACATTAATAATTCATACAATTTAACTCAAAGGTCACATCAATCATACAGAACATGTCACTGCTATCCAAGTCCCCGCGGAGCACTCGGTCGGAGTCCAGCATCCTGCCCCGAGACTCGTACCCTGTTTCCGTAGGAAGGTAAGGCCCATTCGGGGTCCTATCTTATGTGTTACCGCTGTCAAAGCCTTGTAAGGTCTTTGATTCGGATTCCACCCTTATACGTGATCACGCTGTAAGTCCATGCTATCCAACTCGCTCTCTAGAGCCAAGCGGGGCCATGGTCCTTACATCTACCCTATTATGGGCCCATGCAGTCCGGCACGATCCTCAGACTCGTCCGACCCATGACCCTCATCTATCTATATTAGCAAGTTCATGTGGTCGGACATCTATCCTTAGACTAGAGCTGAGCCATGACCCTTGCTACCAATCAAACAATCAATTACGGGTATCCTAAAGACCACCCGGATAATAATATCAACAATCCAATCCTAGGATAATTATATCATTTAAATCATCTAAGGCTATCCCAAATGAATACCCTAGTGACGAAGCATCACAATCCTAAACTTAGGATTAATTTATAAATGTTCATACTATAATCTCGGACTAGTCACTTTGTACCACCCGAGTTATTCTTAGTTTAAATTCTCTTTCCCTTTTAAACAAACATGGCGGCCATGCCATGACTCATTCTAACTTCATTCTATATACTTTACTAACCATAAAGTCAATATAATTAAATAGTGATTAATAAAACATTTTATTAGTTCATCACTAAATCAACTAGAACAACTTCTCAAACATATAAGGTAATCATGCTCCAATTTATTATACCTCAATCAATCATGCATCAACTCTTCATATACAACAATATGATCAATTGACACTTTACTTGACCTATTAGTTAATTAAAATCATGCTTTTATAACATTAGGTAATATCATGAATTAACCCACTAGTTATAAACAATATAGTCAGTCATTATCACCTTGTGATGTTCTCAACTAGTTGCCTTTGCTAAGCCCTTCGATCTATCCCCGTTCTAGGCCGATTGAAAGTGAAAATTCTAGACAGCAGACAAAAGCCGGGCGGCTTTTGCAAAAGGTGGGCGGCTTTCGGGCCTGCAGCTCAAAAACAGTCCCCAACAATGGCGGTTTCCGGCGATTTCAACTCATATTGATTCCATGACTCTTCTAAGTTAATTACCACCACTTTATATCAATATAATACACTTTTCAACGTGTAGAACCTCTTGCTTAATCCACCATATTATTCATTAAAAATCATACAAAAATAATACTAGTTAAAAGGACTATTTGAGTTCTTACCTTGATTCTTTGCTATTTTCTCTTGGATTGCCTATCTTCCTTCTTCCTCCAAGGTTGCTGGTTTTGAGAGCTCTCCCTAGACTCCCTTATCTCTCTATTCTCTTCGTATGGTGCAAATGAAAGGGAGAAAATATCTTCCCACCAACTAGTTCTTAATAATAGGGAGAGTAAGGCCTTGATGTTTCCATATGCCTTCTCCCATACCTCTCACCCATATGTCCGCACATAGCATTTTAGTTTGTCTCCAATACATTATTTGGAGACCACACATCATGTAGGAAGATCCCCAAGTGGGTGTAGGAAGTTCCTCTCAATTATTATTGCTATTTTTGGCAGGTTGGGTCAAAATAGCACTTGGGTTGCCCAAACATTTTCCTCAACTTTAGTTGACATTTTATTGGGTTTCTAATATTATTATGATGACCCAACTAAATATTTAATAGCCCATTCTCCATATTATGGACCCGCTAAATAATTTAATTAATCATTCATTAATTAAATGTACCATTCTTTTACACAATACTATTCGCCAGGAAATTCAAATACATGTTGAATTTTCAATTTGAAAGTACATTCGGGTGCAGTGTCACATGACTCGTGTCAATAATTCATCTAAAGGGTTCTTCAAGGGTTGACTTTATTATATTATATAGTCATATAGATATAGATATACAGTCATGTTTAAGTTTGAATGTTTGATAATCATTTTATGAATTTTTTTGTCACATTTAGGTAATTTCCCTTGAAAGGAAAGGTAATCCTATTAAGTTTTCTATTAATCGATCACATATAGGTATATTAGGATTAATAATTTTTTCTTCCCAATATAAAAGTAACATGATAGTATTTATTTTCATCTTGAAGTCAAAATTACTAAAATAGTTGTAGTACTCTGCATTAATATGATAGTATTTAATGTCATTAATGTCATTTATGATAATTTCAATTATTGTATTTAGAAAAGAAAATTATTCCACCTACATTTTAGTGTTTGATGTGCTTTTCAGCAATTCAGCCTACTTATGGCAAATTCTGTTATAATCATATTTATAAGCACGAGTCAATTTTTTTTCTTGACTCTCACACTTCTAGTTCCAAGATCTTTCCCTAGAGCCGAAGATATAAGAGGACTGCTTTTAATCTCTTAATTTAATCTCGTCAAACTAATTTGCCTCAGAAATCACGTTACTCATTCGATCTAGATCTATACAGGTATGTTTCTTCTCTCGCATTGGCCCAATCTTCTTAAAAGCTTTAAAAATAGCCATTAATCAACAAAGTGCAGGCGAGAGCCTGGGTTTTGAGAAGCGATTCTGCGAGAGAAAGCCTAGCTATTCCGGCGCTTTCTTGAGCTCACGTAATCTAAAGCCGCCAATAAAGAAATTGGGGTTGTCGGGGGTTATCAAATCGGGGGTCGTTCGCCAGTAAGAAATTGCCAGTGAATTCGCCAGCCTTGCATCTGATTGAGTTCCGTAAGTAATTATTTCATTATATGTTTTTATTTGCAGTACAACGATTTCTCCTGCCTTTTGATTTTAGATTTCTCTGTCTGGAAGAACCTTTTAATTGTTGAATTTACTGGCAATAGTTTCCCATTATAGTGACTGCCTTGTAATTCCCATTACAAGTGCCTGCTTTGAGTAATCTCACTTCTTTAAGCATTGCCAATAACTCAATCTCAGGAGAAATCGTGGACGTGAATTTGCCAATCTACAATATCTCAATTTGTCTTACAATAATCTTACTAGTATAGTGCCAAAGTCAATATTCCAAAGGTTTCTTAGGGCCGTGTTTGTGTGAAATAATGTTTCCTTGTTTGATCATTATGCCTTTTCAATTCCCACTATTTATCTTCCTCAAGAACCAACCAGCACCCTTTTGAAGTCAAAGAGTTTGGGAAAATTGAGTGAGGGGAATTCTTGTGGTTTTAGTTTCTGTTAGTGTTCTTGGGGTAGTGGTTTGGTTTTCTGTTTCTGTATCTTGCATTATCACCTTGGCAAAGTCAAGGGTTCTAACATCTGCTAGCTAGTGTCAGTCAGCAGGGCCTGCTTTAGAAAGATTTTATTTTCTGATCCCATGTCAAAAGCTTTTTCATCAAGCCTGGGTTTAAAAAGAGTATTTCAATGATACCCACAAATGACATTATGGCATTATTCAATGTTAAC